TCCTTTGCAACACCATTCTTCTTTCCTCATGTGCCTCCATTTGTTTGGTCATTAGGGTCACCTTGACCTTTATAAGTATGTGAATTATGCCTTTTGTTCTTGCACTTTTCACATGTGACAGTGGTCCACTTTTTTGATAGCTTATGCCCTTGGCTAGCAGGTTCATCATATGCCTTCTTCCTTTTCTTATTGGGCCTACCCACCTACAAATGTGGAAAAGATTAAATTAATTTCTATGACTAACTACATTTATAATGAAAAAAAAAGATATACCTTAACAACATCTTTGAGTGTAAGCAATTTAGTTTGACATGGTGATTTGGGCCACACCAGTCTACCATTAATGGTTTAATTTTGTGTGTGTACACTTGTGTCCATGTAACAAGCCAGTAACATGGGTGGACCGACTGCTTCAACTCATGAACATTCTTTGCTCCATGTACAATTTTGTCCCGTATTGCACTTATTGCATGTGAGCATAACATGCGTGTAATTTCCCAATGCCAACATGTACAGGTTTTTCATCCAAATTAACAATAAACTGATCACCCAAATGAGTAATGACTTAAGTTTTAACCCCATTAAAAATACACCTATGCTTTTGTGCTTGTTTTTTAATTTGATTAAGTAGAGTAGTGGCAGTTGGTGTAAGTAAACCATGGCATCTATCAATCTCTCTTTGGGCATTGCAAATTCTCTTCATCAAATACTCTCTAATGCTCCTAAACAAACGTAAATTCTCCTAAATTACCTTGTATCAGAATTTGGATTTCTTTCCAGCAACTCTAGTCCAAAGTCGCTCAACATAGCATATTGTTTGGCATAATCCCCAAAAACATGATTCATATCCAATGGCATTGCACGATGTATCTTCATTCATGATATGTTCATCTCGAATTTTTGGATGAGATCTTCTTGAAGTGAAATGATTGGAATAGTTGGATTACGTTCAATTTGCTTCACAATGTTGGTAGCAATGAATTGGTAGCTGCAAGCTTTAACGATTCTTGATTGCATACACAGGTGTTCATTAACTAGGGTGTTCACAATCAAGTCATATGTCTCTTTAGATCTAGACACTAGTACAATCCAAGGACATTTACCCTCTTTCAAATTTATAGTTTTGTCCTTGAATCCAGTCCTTGACTTTTTTCATGGCCCACCACTCATATCTAGGACCACACCTCTACACCTAGCCCGAATCCTTGTTTTATCTTTTTTTTTTATCAAAATGTAAATCCCTCTTGGTTTCTACTGCATGTTTGTTGATATAATCTAAACAAACACACTTCTTATTACTGTCTGCAGCCGTTTGTTTCATATCTTCTACTACAGAAGGTTGCAGAGGTGGTCCGCAGACCTCATGAATTTTTGCTTCAAAAAAACAAACAAAACCTTAGTCTTTTGGTTATAAGTTTGAGCAAAAAACAATGAATTTTTTAGTTACTTCATTTTTAATATCAACAATATTTCCATATTCTTATAATTTATAAGGGTAACTTACACAAAACTACTATATTTTTATTTATTTATTTCGATTTTGACACCTCATTTTTTGTTACAATTTAAACATTATGTTTTCTAATTTTTTTTCATGCTCACATGATGTTATTTGATCATATAGTGCTAATATGACATTGTTACATATTAACTTATCATTTTTTTCAATCTTGACACTAAATTTTTATTTATTTTTTAATTTTAACACTTACTTTTTATTCCAAATCAAACAATGTTATGTTTTTCAATTTAATTTACTGTTGTAGAAGTTGTAGATTTTTTGTACAAAAACAGTCCATATCCATGGCCCATGTATTTGTTCTTGTTCTTGTTTTGGGCCGCTAGCAAAAGTTAGAAGTAGAATGTTACATATGTAAATCTTTCACTAAGAAATTAAGCCAAATAATTTGCTTTAAATCTACGCTTGTATTATCCCAAATAAGATTTTGATGATTAGGTGAATAAAATGTTTGATAAAGCAAGGTGCTATAACATGGACTCTTAGATATATTTAGAAATAACAAAATCATATTCATTTACTCGTGGTGACTTGATTAGTAATGCAAGATTACGTAAAATATATTTTAAAAAAAATTACATGCATTTACTTAAAAAAAAAAAAAAAACTAGTAATTATAGTTATTCAATTTCTCAACCCAGTCATTTTCAACTAAGATATATAAGTACAAAAATAATTTTTCTTTTCACCATCGCTTTTTGTCCCAAAGATTCTAAATCAAGATGAAATCGACTATTTAAGACCCTTTTTTTTTTTTTTTTTTTCCTTCAGTTAGCTTTTACTTTTACCTTCTTTGTTGGTCCTTTTTAAGCTTCCCCGTGTTTGTACAACCATCCCCCATCTTGCATACACTCTTCCTTTCTTTTCTATATAACTTTTCAAACCCTATAATCAAGACTATAATAAGGTGGCTATCATGGGACATGGGATGATAGCATGACAGAAAATCAGGTTACAAGTTTCTACACATGTGATCAATTAGCAAGACGATCCCCTTCTTTTTTGTTTGTTTTTAGACATGATATCCATGTTTCACATGGAGCATGTTAGGGTATTTAGGACGTCTTTTTTAGCGATTAAACATGACAAAAGTCAGGAACAAGGACTCATAACAGCTTCAATAAAAACAATTTTGTGTTTCAATAAACATGACAAATGTCACGTCTGTTGTGTTTTCTACGTATCAAATACACTCTAAACTAGGTAGCAGAAAAATCAAAACTACGATATACCTAAGTGTATATGCACCCTAGGATCTTTGGTTTCATACTAATTACATTTACCCTAGAAAACATAAAAACAAAAAGAAAAACATACCTCTCATGTAGCCCTTGATCTTCATGCTTTAGATCTTAATCTTGTCCTCCACGAAGTTGTTTGGATGAAAGGACCCAAATTAGGATCCATCTAATGGTATCACACAGAATGACACCAAATAGTGAAATAAAAATAACTAGGAGAACGGTCAGTTTCACAAACCTGAGAGGGTTATAAATCGTCCCTAAGAGGGGAAGGAAGAAGAGTTGACGAAATTTCAAGTCAATGGGCAACCAAGTTTGAAATCTCTAAGGTCCTTATGTGAGATGGAATACCTAGAATGAAATTCACTCCATTTCTCATATAGGAAAGAGTGATTTTCATTCAACCCTAATCTCATAAGGGTTCTGGAACAATCTTGATCAACCAACTACCAATTAATGAATATTCAACACTTTAATTAATTAAATTGTTAATTAATTCACAAAATATATTTCCAAGTAGTTTTTAATTAATTATTAACAATAATAATTAATAAAGTAATTTCTCTTTTTATTTATTCCGCTCATTTTGTGTCTTAAGGCAACCTAAAAGGACATTGTTATTATTAGAATTACCACCAATAGTTAATGATCTTGGATACACTTCCCAACAACATCAACGTCATATAATTAAATAGTATCATTTCAGCATTTCATGTTAGTAATGATAACCAGTAAATGATCAACATTGCAAAATTAGAAAAAAAAAAAACAGAAAATATGATGTTTAAGTTGCAACAAAAATACAAAGTTTCAAGATCAGGAAAAAAAAACCATAATAATGTTTATGTAATTTACTCAACAAATAAAACACTTAACTTAGTTTATTGGTAGACATACTACCAAATAAAAATGTATTAGAAATTTTCCCATTACAGAAGTCTTCCTTACTTTTCTCAAATTTCTCTAATTCACATGAGCACACATAACCATACCAACTCACATCAACACACATAACCATATAAATAAGGACTGACGAGAAGATAAACATGGCTTACGTCTCATCAAGAAAAAATTTAGGCATATTATCAAACATGACGCATGTTGCTCTTCCTCACTTTCTTCAATGTTATGATAAATGGCATTGGACAAGTGATGATGGTGACGTTTTCTTGGTTAAAGCTCTTAAGCATCCTATTGAAGATTCGGATGGAGGTAACAATAATAGGTTTGTGTGGGTTAGATGGACCCTCTCAAGCTAAATTGTTTTGCGTGGAGACTGTTTAAAAATAGAATTCTCATTTATTCAAATTTAGTCAAGCGTGGGTTATGGTGGAGTCGAATCTATGTCACTTTTGTAGTCAATCGGAAGAAAGCCCTGATCATATTTTCTTCTTGTGCACCACTGTTTCGCAGTTGTGGAATTGGTTTGCGGGATGGTCTTCTGTTATCTCTCATCAGTCGGTGTCGTGTGTGGATCTAATGGAGATGCTTGACTTGAAAATTTGTAGCAAGAAGATGCAGAAACTAAGATTATTTCTTGTGTATTCGATGTTGTTGTTGATTTGGAAAGAACAGAATGTCATTGTTTTTTGGAAGAAATGACGAGCGGATATGATAATGGCGGACGACATTACAATTTGCACTTTTAATTAGATTAAGAAGATATCTAAATTGATTTCAGTTGATTGGTTTAATTGGTGTAAGTCTCATATTTTAAACGTTTTTTTTAATAATTTGGCTTGAGCTTCTCGTTTAAGTCTTTGCTTTTTGTTTTAATAATATTCGCTCTAAAAAAAAAAATCAAGGCATACTTAATTAGAGAAACCCGTCATACTTAATTAGAGAAACCCAAAAACAAATATGCATCATCGTAGTCCTCTACACACGTGTACATATACATGTAAGAATTCCTACATGTATCAAATTTAATTTTTCTCCCACATAAAACTTCCACAGTTTGCGACTTACAACTTCCCATGGGAGCCTACAAGATCACAAAAATTACATTTTTACCAACTTTTGAAGCTAAAATTAAGATATAGTTTGATAATTTCGATATACTAACTATTGAAGATATCAATTTTGATCCACGGAATACTTAAAATCAACAGTCGAAATTTCTATTATACTTGAGAGAAGAATTTAGAGAGCGGAGAGAGAGATACCGCTTGATTTGATTGGAGAGATTGTCGAATTAAGCCGTCTAATTGTTAATAACAGATAATATGCATTTTATGCAGTTATTGCAATCTATAATATATTGTTTCTTTTGCAACAATCAATTGCATCATCAAACATTTCTTCAAGTCCATACTTGAACCGGAATCCGTGCCCAAGAGTTTTCTTGATGAGACGTCAGCCATGTTTATCTTCTCGGCAGCCCTTAAAGAGCTTAAAAAACAATGCAGTTTAGTGAAAAATGCTTAAATACGTTTCATGAGATGAGAGGAATAAAAAAATATTACAACTTACTTGATATTTGACATTTTATATTCCGGATATCTTTCTGATAATATTTTGTAGAATTCATCGATAGTGACTGCGACTTTGGAACAAATATACCTCCCTTTTGCTTTCGGGTACTCAAGGAGATGAATGTGTGCCCTGGCGACATCATCAATATGCACGAAAGGCGTTTTCACAAGCAACCGAGGTTTGCCAATGTCACCTGAAAATTAATTTATCATCAATTAATATAATTACCTTAATCAACAAGCATATAAAGCCTTGTAAGTATATTTCCTGAACAATTTATCTCAAAAAATTTAATTTTAAAGTGTTAAATGATTCTAATATCACATGTAAATGTATATAACAATAATAACTGACCAAATATCAAAGCCATTGAGCCACGCACCGCGCGTGGGCAAGAAGCGCCAACAAATGGACCATGAATATTTGTCGGAAGCACAGTCACAACATTGAAACCTTTTCTGTCCGCGAACTCTAAGGTCGCTTTTTCAGTCAATGTCTTGGAAATGAAATATGAAACACCAAATTGCTTATCATTAGCGCGAATTGCATCAACATCACTCCATGATTCCTCATCTAAGATCTCATTGTTCAATCGTTTCTCATTAAACACAACGGTAGATGCACTAGATGTGTATATAAGTTTCTTTACTGTCTTTGAGTCGATGCATTCTTGTAAAATACCCAAACTACCCTTCATGGCTCTTTCAGTCAGCACTTGTTCGGATTCTTTTCCAAGAACATCAATCGGATGTGCAACATGAAACACCCCAATGCAGCCTTTTATTGGTGCCTTAAATGTCTCTGGTTTGCTCAGATCCGCGTTGAAAAGTTTGAGCCTCTTTGATGCTCCTGGTAGGGCCATGATACCACTGACATCTTCCATTGAGCCTAGAAATCATCAATTTTTACTATTCAAAAAAAAAAAACAACATTTTTTGTTTCGATTGTTAGAAAAATGAACGTTTTGTTATAAATTATTGTGTTTCCATTACCTCCATATATGCCAAATATTCTATGTTAAGTAAGATAATAAGCAAAAAAAAAAAAAAAAAAAAAAAAAAAGAGAGAGAGAGAGAATGAAACCTGGAGATTTCCATGTGGCATTAACAGAATATCCATCTTCAAGTAATGCCTTGATCATCCATGAAGCTAGGTACCCTGCGCCACCAGTTACACAAACAATTTCATTTCTCCATCTTAATTTGTGCGCTTAATTGATTCCTTCGCTAGAATTTGAATCTTTAACCTTGATGATGAATGTAACACCAAATGACTCTGCTAAGAACAAGAAACAGAGGTATGTTATGTAGTGTTAGAGTCATGTGCATGCCAACCACTAACCATATATCTTGTAGTTTATTGAAAAACTCATTCTAGCAATGAAACTATAAAGATCATCATACTACATGAATCCATAAATAAAACAAAGCTATCTATTATACATCCATTATAACACATTTTATTCAAGTAAAGCACCCTAATTCTAAACAGTAAAATAAACAACCGAGCCAACGAGGTTAATTACTAGAGAGAGTTTGAGGGTGAGATTTGAGAACGACGAGCCTTGGTGTTGGAGAGAATGTGAAGACTCTGATGCGGAATTTAGATTTTGAAGTGTTTTTGTTTATTATTATAATGAGGTCAGTTTTTCAACACGTTAGATCAGTCATAGGTCAACTTGTATTAAAGAACTCACGCAATTTCATCATTTCAATAAAAAAAAATGCAAATTGACCGATTATCAATGGCCTCAACGTGTTAAATAATAAAAAAAAATGAGTGGTTTTCAATAAACATAAGGCCATGGGTACGTTTATGGATGAACATACTCCATATCATCATCAATTACTTTTTAAAATACATTTAATATTGGTTAGAAATGATATTCACCGTGAACAAAAGAGAAACGAATAAGAATGCATTCAATTTAGGGCTAACCAATCAAAATTATTGTAAACATATGTGAAGGCCGAAGCTAGTAAGGTTGTATTTGTTTTTTTTTAAAAGCTCTTCTAACCTCTTAGTGTTGTGTGGCGCAGCACACGCGCAACACTTTTAGGTTCTCAGCAGTTTGTTTTTCTGCAAACTTCGGACTCAAAAACCTCTTCCCGTCCTCTTCCCCACACAGCAGTGGACTTAACTCTTCTAACAACTTCTAACCTATCTAAAAAAAACACCACATGCCCTAAACAAAAAAAACATCGTGCTCGTTCGTTCTCCTTCTTCTCGGCATCATTCTCAACGTTCGATCCAGAGGTGGTCCGACTCCAGCCTCCGCTGCTACCATCGCCGGTCGTTGCTGCTTCATACAACAGGTAACTTTTTTTATCTGATTTCTTGTTGAATTGATTTGAGTATCAATTTTATGATTTCTTACGCATTTGAGTACCAATTGTATGAATTTGAGTACCAAACTTCTGATTTCTTGCTGCCCTCGGTTTCAAGATCAGGTAAGTTTTTTTTTTTCTTTCTAATTTCTTATGCAGTTGAGTACCTATTGTATGAATTTGAGTATCAATTTTATGATTTCTTATGCATTTGGGGTACCAATTGTATGAATTTGAGTACCAATTTTTTGATTTGAGTTAGGATTTTGTTGCTAATATGTTACAACCTTTGTTAAAATCTTTGTTGAATGTAAAATTTATGATATAATTGTTCTTTAAACAGATTCTATGGTGTGCTGAAATTTATATTTGTTGAATGTTGAATGTTGATTTATGCTGAAATCATAAACTTATATGCAAGTTTACATGCTGAAATCATAAATCTTTGTTGAATTGGTCCACCTCTTTGCTGAAATGTTTTTTTTTTTAAATTAATTATTGAATTGTTATCACTTGTATTTCTTGAATGGAGATCAAGTTTATGTTTACATGCAAGTTTGTGCTTAAATTGTTAAACCTGTTTGTTGATTGTGTTGTATAATCTTTGGTTATATGGTTTTTTTTGTTCATTCATGATGTATTGTTGTTGAATATGCTAAACTTATTTGTTGATTATGTTGAAATATGATTAATCTTTGTAGCTAAAGTATGTATTCTATATATATTTTTTTGTTATTAGCAATGGGAGATAAACATACATAGACCAATGAGCAAACAAAATGCTTATTGTAAACTTGTATTAAAGAAGTGCAAACCGTGGGTAGAATAGGTTTGAGTTTGCACAAACAATCATGGCACGCGTTAGGAACAACTATTAAGGAAAAGTATGGCGTAGATTTGAATCAACGACAATTAAAAAACACCTATGATAACCTTAAAGCCAAATACACAGGATGGTTATACTTAAAAAACAAAACTGGAAACCTTTACAATCCACAAACAAATAATTTTAACTTAACAAATGAGGAGTGGAGGACTTTAAAAAGGTATATATACACACACATATTTATATGTATTTTGTTTATATAGTTTCCATTTATTCTTATATTACTTTTGTTACATTGATTGCGTTTAGGGACATCCGAAAGCCGCTTCTTTGAAAACTGTCCTATTATTGTTTCCAGAGCTTTGTGCAGAACTCTTTGATGGAAACAGTGCATCTGGTAATCTCAATTATGCCACATCCCAAACATCATCAGGACATGGACCATCTTCTTTCCATGTCGCACCACTACATCTTATGGACGCCCCTTCCATTAACATAGATGAGGATGATTTCTTTTCCAAGCATACTAGTGAGCATTTTACTCAGCCTTCACCTTCTACTACTTCATCTTCTGTTAATTCACCTTCTGCTGCTTCACCTTCTGGTAACCACAACAAAAGGGCTAAACCCTAAACCCCTAGACCTCGAGCTCCTAGTGCTTTACTTGATCCACCTTCTTCTGCCTCGCCTAAAGCTTCTATTACTGCTGATGATTTAGCATTGGAGATGCAAAAATCTCTATGCCATTTGACTCAAGGGCCAACAATTCCCCAATGTTTAGAGAAGCTTGAGTTGCTCGAGTTAGACCCAATAGACCCTCTACGATTTGATGTGTATCATATTTTTGGAGGGACCATGAATATGAGAGAGATGTAGGTAAATTTGCCTAATGATCCACGAATATTAAGAGGATGGATCGAGATGACAGCTACAAGTGTGGGAGTTTTAAAGGATGGAAAGATTGTTCGTTAACTTTATATGTTTGAGTTGTTTAGGTTTTAATTGCATGTTTTGGAACTATATGGTTATGTTTTTTGGTTATTTGCTACTTGAATGTTACTTTTTGTATTTGGTGCTTGGATGTTATGTTATTTGGTACTCGAGATTTACGTTATGTTATTTGGTACTTGAAATTTATGTTATGTTTTTTTGGTACTTGAGATTTATGTTATGTTTTTTGGCGCTTGAAATTTATTTTATGTTTTTTTGGTACTTGAGATTTATGTTATGTTTTTTGGCGTTTGAAATTTATTTTATGTTTTTTTGTACTTGAGATTTATGTTATGTTTTTATCTTATGTTATGTTATGTTTTGTTGATTAATAGGTTTGTAATGGATCACGACAAAAACATACTACTCATAATTCTTATGTACTTGTACGTCCGCTACTTTTGGAAGAGGCGTGTCAAACGAGTGCGGGACAACGATTCGGAAATGACGGGACATGAATTTACGTTATAGTTACTTCACCGTAATCCTCTACAATGTCTTGAAGTGCTACGCATGTCCCATGAATCATTTGTTCGGCTATGTGCTCATTTTAGAGTAAACTACGCGTTAAAGGATAGCAAACATGTGTCGGTTAAGGAGAAAATGACTATGTTTTTTATGATGATCGGTCATAACCAACGTTGTGTGATTATCAAGCGGAGATTTCAACACTCAAAGAGAATTATTCATAAGTTTTTTCATGAAGTGTTGGACAAAATGTTGATTTTTGCACATGACATTATAGTGCCAACTTCTTTTAATCTGAATCCAAACATTCCGGGACATAATAGGAGGCTACGGCAGGTGATCAAGGGAGCAGTTGGTGCACTTGATGGCACTTTGATACATGTTGTTGTCTCTGCAAACAAACGGGATTTATATAGAAGTAGGGGAAAAGGCGATTGTTACCAAAACGTATTGGTAATATGTGACTTCAACATGATGTTTACGTTTGTTGTGACCGATTGGGAAGGGATAGCACACGATTCTAGAATTTTATCAGAAGCATTAGCAAATCCACATGCACCATTCTCGCTTCCACCACCATGTAAATTTATGGTTATTTAAATAGTTTTATCTTAGCTTGAAGAATAAATGACTTTTTTTTTGTTTTTTTTATAGATAAATATTATCTTTTTGATGTCGCCTATGCAAACATTCGAGGTTTTATGACACCGTACCGTAATGTGAGGTATTGGCTTGGAGATTTCCGTTGAAGACGTGCATTAACGAATAAAGTAAAATTTAACCATGCACACGCAAAACTTCGGAATGTGATTGAGCGGGCTTTTGGTGTCTTGAAAGCACGATTCCTATATTGAAGAGGATGACACCATTCTCGTTGGTTACACAACGAAACATTACCCTAGCATGTTTTGCGCTTCATAATTTTATAAGAAGAGAGGGGCTACCTGATGAGTTTTTTGCATGATATGATGAACCAAATGTCCCGGTTTGAAATAACAATGCAGTCGTTGATAATGATGAAGATGGGATTCCAACACATGGTACTGCAGCGGACCGTGAATATATGAACCAGTTACAGGATGAAATTGTCGAACAATTGATGCAAAATATGGAATGAAAATTATTAAAGTTTGGTTTTATTTAAAAATGTTATTATAAGACTAATTTGGTTGTTTGAATTTTATTTCAATATTTTAAGACTATTATTATTAAATTTTTGGTATTAAAAACTATCTTCAGTTTATTAAATTACTTTATTTTAAATTTTTTAATATTTGCATATGTTAAAAAACAAACATATTTCTCATTACAGTTTGCAACACTTTTGTCCTCCTTTTCTGCTGCAGAGGGTTGCAGAGGTGATCCGCAAACTTCAGACAATTTCACTTTGGAAAAACAAACAGCTCCTAACTCCACACCACAACTACATTCGTTGGGAGCGGTGTTCACACGTAAACATCCCCTCCATATAGATGTTTACACGCATAAACACCCTCATACCCCCATGGCCTAAGGCTATGGGGTATGGTCACAACCAACCTATTAGAAAAGTGATGTCATCTATATGCCACATCACATCCACTACATGTTCACTAGCCTTTAGAAATAAAAAAACATAATTAATAAACATAAATAAATATTTTATATTACTTAAAAACATATTACATATTTTAAAAATTAAACCTAAATTACTAAAAAAACATAAAAACATAAAATTTCAAACCTAAATTACTACAAGAAAACATAAAACCATAGAAATTTAAACCTAATTACTTAAAAAAACATAGAAAATTAACATAAGAATTAAAACCTTAAAACCTAATTTTTCATATTTATTGCGGACATATTGAATTTTTAGAAACGTCGTTAGATTGTCCGGGTTGAGATTCGGTTGGGCTTTATGTTTATAATTTGAAGATCGATAAGTGTTATTTTCCGGTAACGAGCTTCCTCCGTTGCTTTATATTAAAAAAAATAGAGTTTTGTCTATTTTTTTCACAAGTATGTCTTCGTTACTTGCTTTTCCGCTTGAAGACGCTGCCTTTTTCCCTTTGTCCATTCCCGGTGATGTCGAAGCCTTCATTGAGGTCGACGCCAAAACTCATATCCAACTTTGATGGCCTTTTGTTGGAGCCTTTGGTCGATTCTAAATACAAAGTCTCCAAATTAAGGACCTATTTTTGACCCTTACGACAAATTTTCCACGCTTTTTAGCGACCGAAAGTTTTGTCGTCATTGGTAACCTTGTATTGTTGGCATGCGGTTGATAAAATATTGAAATCATTGCTACCACTTTTATGCATATTTTTAAAATTTTCAAATATGCCATTAAACTTGGTACAAGTTGCTCATAGTTCACGCCATTTTTCCATTAACCGTGTCATTCGTCTAATCCGTTCGCCTTCCCAATAGTGAGTGAAAGTGGTATAAAACACGAAACCAAAAATTGTTTCCCGTTTACGCATTGCCCATCCTCAAGTCACACGATATGAAAATCCAAGTCTTAGATAAAGTTTCCTCCTCATCTTCGTTCCAAGTAGTACCTCTTTTTTTGTAGCTTTTCCTTTTTGTTACCTTCTTCTAGATGGTTGTTGTGTTTCTTGGACCATTTTGTCGTCATCATTTTCAATGTTTATAGGTTGTGATTGAGAAAATGAGACTTGAGATGGTTGTGCTTGAAATTTTTGAGCTTGAGAAGTTTGTGGCTGAAATTGTTGAGGATGCGAAGCTTAGGGTTGAAATTGTTGAAAAGTTTGGAATTGGGGTTGATTGAATTATTGTGTTATTTGTTGTTGGAAGTAGTCTGGTTTATATAGAATGTTGGTAAATAGAAGTTGTTGAATTAAGGATGTTAACATTTGCATGTAGTTAAGTTGTGAATATGAATCATTTGGAGTGTTTGGGGTTATTGGGGTGTGTGGAGTGGGTGGGTTATTTTGATTTAGGTTCATAGTTTGAAGAAGAAATGATAAACTATAAAGAGATTTGAGTGTATTTGAGGTGTGAAATTGTTATAAAATTGTTGGTATTTATAATAAGTGTTTATTTTAAAGTTAAAACTGTTGAAAAGTTTGGAATTGGGGTTGATTGAATTGTTGTGGTTTTTGTTGTTGGAAGTAGTTTGGTTGATATGAAATGTTGGTAAATAGAGGTTTTTGTTAGATTGGGGGTGTTAACATTTGCAAGTAGCTAAGATGTGGATATGGATCATTTAGAGTGTTTGAGGATTGTTAGGATGTTTGGAGTGGTTGATGTGTATTGGGTCCATAGTTTGAAGAAGAGATGATAAACTAGAAATAGATTTGAGTGTTTTTGAGGTGTGAATTGGTTATAAAATTGTTGGTATTTATAATGTAAGTGTTTATTTTAAATTTGAAAGGTAATTTTTTTGTATACATAAAATGCACTCAACGGATGCATTTTTGACCGTTTGAAGTGAAAGGATTCCATTGGTTGTGACAACCCATAATAGTAGTCACTCAACATCACATTTACGCCACTATGGGGAGGTTTTCACGCATGAACAACCCTGCCATATCTGCCTTTGCATGTCAAAACCTACATCATACCTGGGTTATTACCAATGGCGTAAACGTCGAGCCATCCAACTATTTAAATAAAAGTAACAGAAAAATGCAAAAAAAAATAATAATAATAATTATTAAGTGGTTTCCTCGTCTCTTTAAATGCGGTTGAAGTGAATATAGTTATGAGATCTCTATACTTAACGGTCGTTTGTTTTCATTTGTTTGTACATCCACGTCCACATGCCACTTACACGAGGGTGTTTTAGTTATTTCCATCAACAGCTCATATTTTAATATTTTACTAGACGAATTTACGCGCGTTGCGCGACACATGTTAAAAATATATTGTTAGAATATAGTTTTCAGACATATTTTAGTTAATCTCATTCATCAATTTAGGTTCATTTATTATTATTATATTTAATGTTTTCCATTTAACTATGTTAATATATATATATATATATATATATATATATATATATATATATATATATATATATATATATCGATTTTTTTTTAAACATTATTTGATATTTTACTTTAGATTTTAAACTATACACTAAATTTTTAAGCTTATTTTATATTTTAATGTATGTTATTTATTTAACTATATATTGAAGTTAACAAATTAAGTATATCATATTAATAAGTCACAGATTCTTCCATATATGATAATGTTTAAAACTAAAACCTTTTTTGAGTTAATAAATTAATTATATTGTATGAAAATATTAAAAGTTGAGAGTTTCAAATTAATGTAGTGAAAGAAAAAATGTTTCCTTTATAATATAGTATGATGATTATAGTTTTAATTTTTAAGTCATTGTGATATATACAATTATTTGATAATTTTATAAACCGTTTAAAATTGTGTAAAATATATATCAAACATATGATAATCTATATATAACGGGTAACAAAATGTATGAACAAAAATATAAATTATAACTTTTAGTCGCATAAAAATACAAAAACATTTATTATAACATTTGTATTAATATATATATATATATATATATATATATATATATATATATATATATATATATATATTGATACAACGAATAATAAAAAATATGAAAAATAAACACTACAACTTTTAATAACATAAAAACACTAAAACATTTATTATAGCATTTATATTAACTTTTCATATTTAAATCACAAATCTCTTCAAATGCATTAATGTTTTTAATGAGCAAAACTTTACAACCTTATAAAAGAAAGGAAAATAAAAAGTTATTATTGATTATTGATTAATAATCATAAGTTAAAAAACTTTTGAGTTGTAACTAATAAATATATATAAATTAGAAAACTCTTGCGTTGTAGTATGAGTTTGAAATGAATACAGTACTTGGAAATGTGTATTTATTATTATTATTATTATTATTATTATTATTATTATTATATTCGCCTAAATAATTAGTTTTGATGTATCATATTAATCCCTTTAATTATTAAACATAAATATATTTAATTATAAATTTATAACATACATAGGGTATATATATATATATATATATATATATATATATATATATATATATATATATATATATATATATATATTAAACAAATCACGTATAATATGTATTTTTCGTAAATATCATATGTAATTGTTGTCGTACTAATATGAATAAATTACTTTCATATTAAGAATATATCACAATAAGTCATCATAATTACATATCAAATGTTAAAAATTATATTATTTTTTAAATATTGTCTTGTAAATATGTTGTGTAGGATAACCCAACAACAAAAATAATATAAAATAAACATAATCAAAATAGAAAAACTACAATAAAATAAATAAGAACATTGGGTGGTTGAATATATAAATAAAAATGTTACATAAATATACGTTTAAATCAAAAGAAAAAAACTAACATTCGTATACTTTGCTCAAAATAAAAAATAAAAATAAAAAAAACTATATCCGTTTTTTGAATCTTCTTTCTTTATTGAACACCATTCAACCATAGAAATTTGATGATAATTTTTCACTAACCTGCAATCAAAATGTTTTTCTTGAAAAAAGAAGAATGAGAAAGATATTCCAAGCAAAACATTGATGTTTGGAGAGTCACATTCAAGATTGAGTAATACATACAAATCACATATAAATGTCAAATGAGAAAATTGAATATAAAGAAAGAATAGAAAAGCTTCATTTGTTTTGGTTGAAAGAAAAAATCATATTACAAGTACCGTTGATG